ATAAGAACTAAGACACATAGGGATTGGAGAACTATATGGAACAGCCGCATGTAATCCTTTTCCAACCCGGTGGGGGTCTGGAGATTGATCAGCTTTGGATGGCTCATATTTTGGAGGAGTAGGAGGAAGGGTAAAAGGGGGAAGGACAGGCATAGGATAAAAAAAAAAGAAACAAGAAGAAGTGCAAGAGGGAAATGTAGAGGAAGAAATGGATACAGAAGCCTCAGCAGACCAAGCCAAGGGAGCAGAGAAGAAAAATAATAAAGAAAATAGGAGAACAAGAGGAAATAAGGCAAGTTGAACAAAGAAAATGGGAATAGAAAAAGGGAACTATGTAGAGAAGACAGGGGAAAAGGGAAGCAGAGGGAAAAGAAGAGGAAAAATCAGAATTACATGTAGAAGAGGAAGGAAATAACAACAGAAGAATCTGGATCATTTTCTATGATATATCAAATTTATAAGAATATAAATACAAAATGAGAGGAGAGAGAGAGAGAGACAGACAAACAGAGACAGAGACATATTACGTACAGTGGACGACAAACAATTTTACAGAGAAGTACAAAAGGTACATGACCGCGTTTCGTAGGGCACGTTGTGAATTATATATATATATATATATATATATATATATATATATATATATATATATATATATATATATATGAATGGTAAAACACTCTACCGTGTTGATACTGTGATAGAAAAAGCAACAAAGAAATATTAAATCTAGTTTTGCATTCAGGATTTTCTACCATATATATATATATATATATATATATATATATATATATATATATATATATATACATATATATATATATATATATATATATATATATATATATATATATGTATATATATATATATATATATATATATATATATATATATATATATATATATATAGAGAGAGAGAGAGAGAGAGAGAGAGAGAGAGAGAGAGAGAGAATGTGAGAAAGAGAGAGAGAGAGCGTGAGAGAGAGAGAGCGTGAGAGAGAGAGAGTGAGAGAGAAAGAGGGTGAGAGAGAAAGAGAGTGAGAGAGAAAGAAGAAAGAGAGTGAGAGAGAAAGAGAGAGAGAGAGAGAGAGAGAGAGAGAGAGAGAGAGAGAGAGAGAGAGAGAGAGGAAAGAAAGAATGAGAAAGAGAGGAGAGAAAGAATTGGAGAGAGGGGGGGGAAGAAGAAATGAATCATTTTGCAACTAGCCTAGACCTAATATGAGCCAACAAGTGGACTCGGGACCACACGTATCCACACTACTACTATACACCATATCCCCTCTTTCTTATTGCCTGTATAATAACAGGTGGATGCTTTGTCTCCTCTATCTCTTGTATGGTACTGGTGTTGTGAATCTTGAAGTGAAAGTGGAGTTGAGTTAAAGTTCTCGCTGCTTTAAGACCTTATTTCTGCGGGAGTGTGGTAGGTGGGATACAGGGGACAGGCAAGGGAAGAGCGGTCGACCTGCCCGGCCCGCTGTGGCGAGTGGTCTCTCTGGACTGCTCAGAAATTTCTATGAACAAACTTCGTTTTGGAGCATTTTATAATGGAAAACATGAAAGAATTTGAATGAACATAAATTCCTATATATATGGTAACATGGTGGTTTCGTGGTGAACGAACAAGGGTACCTTATATACGGTTGTATGTAAGAAGAGTTATAGTGTTTACAAGACTAAAAAGCTTCGTGATAAGGAGAAAAAAAATGCTCAGTATTCATAAAACATAAAGACAATCGAATCATTTTTACTGTGCGATATCTGTGGTTGATTGAAAGCAGATTGAGAATCAGACAATCGAATCATTTTTACTGTGCGATATCTGTGGTTGATTGAAAGCAGATTGAGAATCAGACAATCGAATCATTTTTACTGTGCGATATCTGTGGTTGATTGAAAGCAGATTGAGAATCAGACAATCGAATCATTTTTACTGTGCGATATCTGTGGTTGATTGAAAGCAGATTGAGAATCAGACAATCGAATCATTTTTACTGTGCGATATCTGTGGTTGATTGAAAGCAGATTGAGAATCAGACAATCGAATCATTTTTACTGTGCGATATCTGTGGTTGATTGAAAGCAGATTGAGAATCAGACAATCGAATCATTTTTACTGTGCGATATCTGTGGTTGATTGAAAGCAGATTGAGAATCAGACAATCGAATCATTTTTACTGTGCGATATCTGTGGTTGATTGAAAGCAGATTGAGAATCAGACAATCGAATCATTTTTACTGTGCGATATCTGTGGTTGATTGAAAGCAGATTGAGAATCAGACAATCGAATCATTTTTACTGTGCGATATCTGTGGTTGATTGAAAGCAGATTGAGAATCAGACAATCGAATCATTTTTACTGTGCGATATCTGTGGTTGATTGAAAGCAGATTGAGAATCAGACAATCGAATCATTTTTACTGTGCGATATCTGTGGTTGATTGAAAGCAGATTGAGAATCAGACAATCGAATCATTTTTACTGTGCGATATCTGTGGTTGATTGAAAGCAGATTGAGAATCAGACAATCGAATCATTTTTACTGTGCGATATCTGTGGTTGATTGAAAGCAGATTGAGAATCAGACAATCGAATCATTTTTACTGTGCGATATCTGTGGTTGATTGAAAGCAGATTGAGAATCAGACAATCGAATCATTTTTACTGTGCGATATCTGTGGTTGATTGAAAGCAGATTGAGAATCAGACAATCGAATCATTTTTACTGTGCGATATCTGTGGTTGATTGAAAGCAGATTGAGAATCAGACAATCGAATCATTTTTACTGTGCGATATCTGTGGTTGATTGAAAGCAGATTGAGAATCAGACAATCGAATCATTTTTACTGTGCGATATCTGTGGTTGATTGAAAGCAGATTGAGAATCAGACAATCGAATCATTTTTACTGTGCGATATCTGTGGTTGATTGAAAGCAGATTGAGAATCAGACAATCGAATCATTTTTACTGTGCGATATCTGTGGTTGATTGAAAGCAGATTGAGAATCAGACAATCGAATCATTTTTACTGTGCGATATCTGTGGTTGATTGAAAGCAGATTGAGAATCAGACAATCGAATCATTTTTACTGTGCGATATCTGTGGTTGATTGAAAGCAGATTGAGAATCAGACAATCGAATCATTTTTACTGTGCGATATCTGTGGTTGATTGAAAGCAGATTGAGAATCAGACAATCGAATCATTTTTACTGTGCGATATCTGTGGTTGATTGAAAGCAGATTGAGAATCAGACAATCGAATCATTTTTACTGTGCGATATCTGTGGTTGATTGAAAGCAGATTGAGAATCAGACAATCGAATCATTTTTACTGTGAGAGATCTGTGATTGATTGAAAGCAGATTGAGAATCAGACAATCGAATCATTTTTACTGTGCGATATCTGTGGTTGATTGAAAGCAGATTGAGAATCAGACAATCGAATCATTTTTTTTTATTGGCGAACGTTTTTGTATTTATACGGCTTTAGAATTTGTACCATCGGCGACTCAGGGTAGGATAGTGTCTCAATTTAATGCTATCAGACTACATTGTTTTGGCATATTAATAAATCATTTAGTATAGTATGGATATCCGGACGTGTCACCCCTCCCCCCACCTTTCATAATAACCCCTCTTACCCCAAGAAAGGTTTTAATGCTATCCTATTTTCAGCGTGAGGGGGGGGGGGGGGGGCTGTCCTGGGTAGCCCAAATATGGTGTACCCTCACAGGGGGAGGAAGAAAATCAAAAAAAAAATTGTCATTCGTATTTTTATTAAAACACTAAACGATAAGCATACCATTGTGCTTGTCTTTATCATATCTGTCAGAGGCTGGGGAAAAAAGAAAGCAATTGAATATGCCGATGGTGACAGAGATAAAACGATGCCTATTAGAATTACGAAATTAGTGATAATATAATAAGTTAATTACGGGAAAAAATGAAACATGGACAACCACATCCACAACCACATGATCTGCAAGCTAGACCCTCGGTGATCTTGCACTTGCCCGACCTGAACCAGCTTAGATCGGAACTGCATCAATATACATATGAAAATCATTTTGATAATTATAGACCATTATGATTTCCTATTCCCCATCCTGTCTTAGAGATTAAACTCCCCATGATGCGTTTCCCAATCAAATAAGAAATCGGTCATTATGAAAAAAAAAATGAGTGGGCCAACCAATAAATACCAATAAAAGGCAATATCAAAAGTAGGACACATGCCATAGGATAATTAGAAAGGCATAGAGAAGAAGCTCGACTCACGCTATAACTATCATATTAACACATTTATGATAATTTCGGAAATTCCAAAGATATGATCCATAATTGCGCGGTAAATTTTCAGCGCGGCCTTATTTAATAGCAATACTCACCCCGCCCGGCTAGTCACGTAGTTGAGTTATACACTTTAAATAAACACACAAGAGTGTCTTCATAAGCCAGCTATTTCCGCGAGGATAACGTGATTCTACATTAATTACATTCTACTTGGTTTGAGGATCAAATTAATGTTTAATCACGTGATTACACTCTTATCAACCTACTTATATACAATGTGATAGATATGTAATTCGTGTTATTTTGGTCATGTAACGCATCATCTTGAAATACCTTTTCTATCTCGCCGCTTTGTTACTCTAACATCAGTAATATATAAAAATGTAAAATCCGAGACGCCCCACCCTCATTTCACCCATACTTTCAAAATAATGACTCTAAGGCACTTGATCGGCTTCCCGCCCCCCCCCCCCCCCATTCTTCCTCTCCCCCCCCGCTTTTCCTTCCTTTTCCTTCTTCATGATAACTATAGGAGGGACAGGGTACCCCCTCCCCTCCTCCTTAGCTTCACAAGCCAGTTATCGAGCGTAATATTTTTCAAGTGCGCGTCTGTCCGAAGGCTTGGATTCCAGACGACTATACAAAGAATGCAAAAAAAAATATATGATTAACAAACAAAGAGTAATATATCAATGCTTGAATAACTGCATTATGTAATTAAGATGATTGCTATCTGATAAGAAATAACGGAAAGAAAAGTAAAGGAAAAATATCCTTAAGTCACAGACGAATTCAAGAGATCGAACGTGGCGAGAATATGTAAACAACCTCGGAGGTGTTAAAGCTACGGAGGCTGGGAACTTCGTGTGAGTTTTGCCTTATTTCTCTCTTTTAAACATAGACATTGATACGTAAGGGCATAGATGAATCCGACTAACAATCTTGATTCACGGCACGGACAGTATGACACAGCAACTCGACAGAAAAACGAGGAAAATACCGAGAGAAAGCCAGACTTGAGTCGCGGCATGAAGGTGCAGCAAGTGGCTCCTGGGAGACCTCCTGACCTCCGGCGACTCCCGTGACCTGTGGTGTGACCTTCCTGCCTCAGATACCGATTATTATTGGGCTCTGTGCTCCACATATTTTCCTTTACTGGGTTACTGGGTTTTACAGGCGCCATAGGAGGAGGGAGGATGTAGGTTCTGACTATTACTTGGAAGGAGTTCGGGGAAGTAGTGTGTCTTGGGTGTGTAGTGTGAACGTACGTGTATTGTGATGATGAAAGGACGTTATATTTGCATTTACATATGAAGCCATTCATAATGCTTTTAATGTATTTATCGTGTTATGTGTTTTTCATTACTGTGTGATATTTATTTTGTTGTTCTTTATGAATACCGTCATATGAAGAACTACAATTTTAAGTGTACATAATGTTACTCATGCCTTTACCATTCCAGGAAAAAAATAGAGTTAGTTCTGTATTTAAAGATTAATCATCAGTAGATAAATTTATTATCTGACTGAATATATGAGGTGGAGGTTTGTTGGCCTTTGCTAGTGCACTGATTAGCAGAGGTTGCTGTTAGTGCAGACATATATAGAAGGTATTTAAGAACATCAGAAGTCTGGGATACACTGCATTGTTGTTGTTTTTCTGTAAACTGTAATTGTAAGGGGAAGACTAGTATGATTATTACAGTCATAAAGTGCAATTTGAAAAGGTGATATTGAATATATAGGGTTACAAGGAGTTTCTAAAATATGCACCAAATGTATTCATGCCACATACTATTGGCTCAGAATTCAGGATGTTTAGTATGGGTATATTGCATTAAATTGAGTGAGTTCTTTTTATTTTTTATTTTATTTACTGAGCTATTGTAATCATACTGCTAGATAGTGCCTCCTGTTTACCATAACAAGTGCTTTATAAGAATAACTGTAACAACGAGGACATGTGCTCGTTTTATATACATAAATATTGATATGAAGGCTGAAACAGACTTTGTTAAAACTATCTAAGAGGGGTTTTAACTAAGAGACTAGAAACAAGAAAAGGTGTTATCTGTTTTCTAATTGTTATAGTGTATCAATATTGACTTTAGTGATGAGCAAAAGATAGGTTGTGCTCTTGTTCATCCTAGTGTCCTTCACCAAGATTAAGGCCCTTGTTAGGAAGTATTGTTGAATTTAGCAATGTTTTTTTGGAAAATAAGATTAGTAAATGAAATAGAAACTCAAGATTTTAAGTCAGAATTAGCATGGTATAACTGCTTTTGATATAAATCATTAGGCACCTTAGATATATTGATGAAACTCAACTTCCACCAATCAGGTTTTTAATTTTTTTTTAAGGATATGGATGGCTAAACCAGGCAAAGCAAGGACTGACATTTATTTTTGAGGGATTGACAACTCCTGTTATTAAGGGACAGCAGTTAGTGTGCACACAAATTGATTGCACAAAAAAAGCAGTTGTTGCTCACATCACACCTAATTTTTGGTTTATATGAATCAAAAATTTGAAAGTTAACCTTGTGATAGCTAAGCAGGGTGGCTGCTTTTATACAAGTTGATATTTTTAGCTTTACAGAGACTGTGTGCCTTCATTTTAATATTTTTTGTTTAGATATGTAATACTACAAGGTCTTCTGAGGAATTTCAGATATGGTTCTGATTATAAAAGTGAATTAATGAAAAACAAATCGATGTTTGTGCTTTAAATCTCATTTGTACAGGATGTTAATTTCTCTGTACTATTTTGATTGACTAGAATCATTGATTATATTCTTTTATTCTATAGATATAGGTATGTTTATATAAGTATATGTATATATATATATGAATACAAATTTATATGTATTTGTATGCATATATGTATCAGCATGCATATATGTATCAGTATGCATATATGTATTCGTATGCATATATGTATTCGTATGCATATATGTATTTGTATTCGTATGCATATTAGGATTTGTATTTGTATGCATATATGTATACGTATGCACATATGTATACGTATGCATATATGTATACTTGTGCATATGTGCATACGTATGCATATATATAAAGGCACATATATGTGTACATACACATATGTATACATATATATATGTGTGTGTGTGTGTGTGTGTGTGTGTGTGTGTGTGTGTGTGTGTGTGTGTGTGTGTGTGTGTGTGTGTGTGTGTGTGTGTGTGCATATATGTTTACTTATATATTTGTATACATATACACTCATATATGTGTGTATATATATATATATATATATATATATATATATATATATATATATATATATATATATATATATATATATATATATATATATATACATATATGTACATGTTAACATATCTATGTATATATATGTATATATATCTGTATATACATATATATGTATATGTATATATACATACATATATATATGTACATGTTTACATATATATGTATATATGTATATATGTATACATATATTTGTTAATGTTTAAGAGTGTATAGTAAGTTTATAGTAAGAATTATTTGATTATTATCATCACCAATATTGGTGTTTATAATAGTACTAGATTTATGATGGTGCTTGATAAGCATTTCCATTTTGAGGGAAAAGAACCTTTCTTTTGAAAGTAATTCAAAAGAAATTGAAAAACTTGATGCTCAGCCTCATGAGACTCTGAGCATCAAGGCCAGGATCGTGCTGACACCTACACTGACAGGCTTAATTCTCCGCATGCATGGTGTTCAGAGACTTTCTCAGTGAGATTAACATGTCATGGATGGTGACCTTTAAGGTGATGTGTCCAAGGAATTCCTCTCAGGGATGTGTCTTATATGATTGCCTTTTCTGTTCCTCTTTCGTCTTGTTTGATTTGTGTTTTTTACTGCTAAGAGCTGATACCTTTTTAGAAGCGTTTGCTGATTCATAGCATGCACACATGTACGCACACGCAAACGCACACGCACACGCACACACACCTTCTTTTTCCCCTCTCCGTCCCTCTGTCTTTTCCTCTGTTTCCTTCTCTCCCTCTCTCTAGCTCTCTCCCTCTCCCACCTCTCTCTTTTTCTTCCTCTCTCCCATCTCTTTTTCTCACTCTCCCTCTCTCCCTCTCCCTCTCCCTCTCCCTCTCCCTCTCCCCCTCCCCTCTCTCCCTCTCTGTCTCCCCTCTCTCCCTCTCTGTCTCCCCTCTCTCCCTCTCTGTCTCCCCCCTCTCCCTCTCCCTTCTCTCCCTCTCTGTCTCCCCCTCTTCCTCTCCCTCTCCCACTCACACTCCCACTCCCTCCCTATCTCTCCCACTCCCTCCCTCTCTCTCCCTCCCTCCCTCCCCCTCCCTTCCTCCCTCCCTCCCTCCCTCCCTCCCTCCCTCCCTCCCTCCCTCCCTCCCTCCCTCCCCCTCCCTTCCTCCCTACCTCCCTACCTCCCTTTCTCCCTCCCTCCCTCCCTCCCTCCCTCCCTCCCTCCCTCTCCCATCCTCCCTCCCTCCCTCCCTCCCTCCCTCCTTCCCTCCCTTCCTCCCTCTCTCCCTCTCCCTCCCTTCCTCCCTCTCTCCCTCTCCCTCCCTCCCTCTCTCCCTCCCTCCCTCCCTCTCTCCCTCTCCCTCCCCCTCCCCCTCTCCCTCCCTCTCTCCCTCCCTCCCTCCCTCCCTCCCTCCCTCCCTCCCTCCCTCCCTCTCTCCCTCTTCCTCTCTCCCTCTCCCTCTCCCTCCCGCGAAATAAATTGATGAAAACTTCCTCTCTCTCCCTCTCTCTCCCTCCCTCTCCCTCCCTCTCTCCTTCTCCCTCTCCCTCTCCCCCTCTCTCCCTCCCCCCCTCTCTCCCTCTCTCCCTCCCCCCCTCTCTCCCTCTTCCTCTTCCTCTCCCTCCCTCTCCCCCTCCCCCTCTCCCTCTCTCTCCCTCCCTCTCCCCCTCCCCTCTCTCTCTCTCTCTCCCTCCCTCCCCCTCCCCCTCTCTCTCCCTCTCCCCCTCTCCCTCTTCCTCTCTCTCCCTCTTCCTCTTCCTCTTCGTCTTCCTCTCTCCCTCCCTCTCTCTCTCTCTCCCCCCCTCTCCCCCTCCCCCCCTCTCCCTCTCCCCTCTCCCTCTTCCCTCTCCTCTCCCTCTCCTCTTCCTCTTCGTCTTCCTCTCTCCCTCCCTCTCTCTCTCTCTCCCCCCCTCTCCCCCTCCCCCCCCTCTCCCCCTCTCCCTCTCCCTCTCCCCCTCTCCCTCTCCCCCTCTCCCTCTCCCCCTCTCCCCCTCATGGCCAGAGTGTGACCTCGCATTACCCTGTCAGAGGACAGGAAGGCCGAAGGGAAGAGCCTTGGGAGGGGCTGGGGAGGGGAAAGGAGGGGATTGGGGCGACGCACATAGGAGGAACATAAGCAGACAGCGTGACGCCGCCGCTCCATTCACACTGGTGGCATTTCGTCACTCTTTCAATGCCGTGTGCGTGGGAGAGAGAGGTGGGGGAGGGGGTGGAGAGGAGGAGGCGGAGGGAGGGAGGGAGGAAAGGGGTAGTAAGGGTGAGGGGGGTGGGTGAATGAAATAAGGGAATTACGGGAAGGAGAGGGAAAGGGAAGGGAGGAGGAGTACTAGTAATAGTACTAGGAGTGGAAATAAGAGTGATATGGAGAGACAGATGAAGGTAGGAAGACAAATGGGGAAGAAAAGGGGGGAGGTAAAAAGAGAAAGAGGACGTTAGGAGGGAGAGGGAGAGAGGCAAAGACAAAGGCCGACTGCTATTCAACCGACATGCAAGCTAATTACCCGAAGGGCTAGTTTACTGACTGACTGACATTAGCTATCATACGCTTGCGTACAGGTACACCGCGTAATTACGAAACTGCCGCGTCATTTCCTTTGTAAACCAATTATAGGTTGTTAGTGA